ATTATAAAATTGGATAGTATACATAATCAATTTAGATTTATTTATTGATAAATTTTATTATATAATTTTAAATATTTCGTATTAAAATACCCGCACGGTTGTGCGGGCCGAAATCTAGTTTATTTTTAATTTTGGAGCTTTTTTTCAAAACTTTTAATGTTATGTTTAGATATAAATATAAAACTGTACAAGGCCCACTATGGCAATGAAATGGGCCTGGTTATTTCAATCTTTAAGGAAAACAAGTGATTCAACACTAATAAAAGATCTCATTTTCATAAATCAAAATATTGTGAGAATTGATTGTAACAAATCTTCTCCACTTAAAATAATTCATCTTCGAACACGTATCAACCATCTGCTAAACACCTAGTCACTAGAACAACTCTGGATATGCAGTCTTCATCGTGCCTGCATGCATTTTTATCTTCTTTAGAATCCAATCATGTTATCGTATTACTTTTCAACAATAGGACCCTTTTACTTTCTTATCTAGCAGCCTCAACACATGTGTAAGTAAGTCATTCTTGAGCCAACAAAGATTATCCTAAGTATGCAGTAGTGGAACGGTCATCACCAGATCTTTCCAATCTTTTTTAACTAAGACATGTTGAACACATGATGGAACTAATCAAATTTCTTGTACAAGTCTAACAAATCGTTGTGCCAATGTGTCCGAAGATCTTGTACTGCTCCATGTACTTCAGTTCCTGGTTATACATATTTTCAGTCATGTCCATATCTTTAAACGTAAATGATTCCGGTACGTTACACTTGCACCTTAAAATTGTAACTCTTTTCTCCCCTTACTTGTATCTATTTCACCGATCTTGGGTTTCCTCCATCCCATTTTCTCCTTATAATTCTAGTTGAATATTTCATCCATCATCTAATTTTATCCAGCATAAGGGGTCCAACATGGGCACACATACATGGATATTCTGATACTCGAGTTATAATTGTTCATATAAGAAAACTCCGCCAGCAGTTTATACCTAACATTCAAATTGCAAGGCGAAACATATCCTATTAATCTTTAAAATTTCTGATCATCTTGTCTATATGCACGTAGACGACAAGTCATTCTTATATGCACCTTAGTGAATAATGGTTTCCAAAATGGCATCAAAAAATTAGAAAAGAATCTTTAATTCCGATCTGACGTGATATTGACATGAATCTCATGAATTCTCACAATTGTTGAGGTCAAAATCAGTCATCTTGAGATCAATGATCAATATTGCGATGAATCAACAAATAGACTCGTCGAAAGTAAAAGAGCTAAATATGTTAAGATAACAAAATCACCTAGGCCGTACTAACCTATAAACGAGCAGAATAAATCCCCATATACATATTCTTGAAAATCCCCTAGCCTCATCGACGAGACTTTCCTCATTGCATGGACTCATCTACAAGCCATGCCTCATCGCCAATGCTCATTGCTGAATTTACCTCTCTTCTTTCTCATCGCCTTAACTCACCTTATTTCCAAGACCAACTCATCGCCCATTATATGTTCAAAGTGCTCTGAATTATGTCCAATACGTTCTTCGTTTCTTTGCAATTGGAGTGGCCATTAAATATTTTACGTAGGAAACACAAAACACGCCGTTTTCTTGTAAAATTTAGCCAAATGTTAAGTTGAGAACAGTTAACTTAACACCAGATTTTTTTGACAAAAGAATGACTATAATTTTAAAGACTAACGGCATAAAGAATCACAGCTTCTAGTGAACTGGCGATATTTTGGGGAAATATCGTAGAAACACGTAAAATCGTAAAACAGTATAAAATGACCTAAACACGATAAAAGTTCACCTATGATTCAAAACATGAATTTGTATTGTGCGAGTCTCGGCTCCACAATCAATAAAATTCAATTTCACATATATTGTTCTAATTACCTAGAATTTTGTCTTTACCAGTTTCTTAGTCATTTTCTTACTACTTAGCCAATTTCTTAGCACCTTCAGTTTTGCTCACATACGTGTAAGCAAACATAACACAAAGTAAATGACAACCGAAACAGAGGACAACATGACTCGAAGGCTTAACATAACTCACATGCCAACACGACTATGTAGGCCAAGACGACCCATAGGCCAACCCAACCAGAAGGCCAACACAGCAACATGACCCGTAGGCCAGCACAACGTGAAGGCCAGCACGACCTAAAGGTCAATATACCGTAATAAACACAATCTGTAGGCCAACATGAACATAAGTCCAGCACAACCCGTAGGCTAAACACGGCTTGAAGGCGAACATAATTATCGTTTAGTCAACAGTTCCTTAAATTATTTTAGTTGTCATTCTTCCATTAGCACATTTATTTTAACATTTTCGAAAAACTAAACAGTGTATAGTTTTATGATACTAACTTACATAAAACTAACTTCAAAATTTCTATACAGAAAAAAAATTAAAAACAAGTCAAAATATTTTTTATGAATCAAAATTCTGTAAAACTAACTTCAAAAATATTTCCAGAAAATATTTTGTACACAAAATAAAACAGTTTTACGAAACAAACTTCTGCAAAACAAACATAGGCATTTTTTAAGAAAAAAAAATTGTAAAACAAAATAACACAATTTTATGAAACAAAATTTCTTAGAAACTCTAGAAAGTTTGTATGGGACATTTTTGTAAAAAAATATAAAACAAAACAGCTTTACTAAACAAACTTCTGTGAAACTAACTTCAGAAAATTTTTATGAAACATCTTTCAGAAAACTAAACAATTTTTTTTTACAAACTAAACTTCCATGAACTGTTAACTTCGGAAAGTTTGACAAAATTATTTCGTAAAACAACACAAAAGAGTTTTACAAGATTCCATAAAATCAATGAAAACTCAATAATTTATGAAACAACGTTTTTGGGAAACTGAACAGAACAATACGAAACCATCAACGGAGAAGGAAAAAGGCGGACAAGATCCAAGAGTTAGTTATCTCTCTCTCTCTCTCTCTCTCTCTCTCTCTCTCTCTCTCTCTCTCTCTCTCTCCAAAGTGTGATGAGTGCAAGGGAAAGTGAAAGTGGAAAGATTCGTGAAAATTGTGTCTTCCACAAAAGAATCTGATAAGTGAGATTTTGAGTAAGTCTTTACATAATCTTCTTCTGTCTGAATAAATGATTCATCGAAATAATGAGTCATCGTTGATATCGACACGTGGGAAGGGATTGAATCATTTATTTATCGGATATGTCTTTTCCCATGATCCATTTCATGTGAACTCTAATTAGTTATCAAAACGCCTACCTTACCATTCTCATCATCTTTGTTTAAATCTAGTCTACGTGGTAGACATTCATAAACTGCTCTACCATAGTTCTTCGCGGATGAACCCAACTTAGGTTTAATAGTACATCCTAATAGGGGACGCCCATACTTGTTCAATTTATCTCTTTCAGCTTGGATACTATGACGTTGTCTCTGGAAAGTATTAGTATAAACAAACAAAAGAATTAAGGTCTTATTCATATTAATATAGATAGCTTAATCTCTAATGTGAAAGATACTTTTTTTCCTAAAATCCGAACCAATATGATGAACTTATAAAAATTTCAGTCTTTACCAATTTCTTTATGTCTGAGGTCACCTACTCCTTCATATCTAAAGAACCCTTTTCACGAAAGGGATTCATCGTTCATCCCCTCCTTCGTTA